GACCACTGCTACGAAATCTGTTTCGTACTGCTACGAACTCTATTCAATACAGCTGGGAATTGGGGTTTGCTCAGTCTTGTAAGATTGTACTCCTGTCTTCAATTATCAACTTCTTTTTTCCGAATTGCTTTAAATGACTGAAAGAAAGCAACATCGAGGGGTTGAATTATGTAAGCTGAGTTGGGGTGTAGGGGTATAGTATAATTATTTCGATGCTACGTTCTCGACAGAAGTTTGACAAAGGCACCGTCATATGGGAGAAATGACCATCTACAAACAATACAACCAGAAATGGATTTTTTCGTTTTTGTAACCAAGAATATAACACATTCATGATGTCCTCGTAGAATGTTTCGGTGGTCATCTAGCGTGTGTCGGAGTTGCCAATGCTCCATTCTGATGGACAATATTTAAACAACTTTTTTAGGATAGTTTCAGCATACTTATACAATATCATAGGAGGTGCTTGAGCACCACTAGCACTGTATGCAAATAAAGTCGTGGCACTTTCTTTTTCAATAGCATTAACCATCTGGTAAACAGTGTGAGAGTCTTTCATAGTAAGTACGAAATCAGTTTCAGAACATAAATGAGTATTTATTTTATCACGATTAAAATATTGTGAAGCAAAAAGATTTAAACAATTCCTACTTCCTAAATACGTTCGAACTTGTGTAAACCAATCTTTGAGGTCTTCTTCGATGACAGATGCTCTTACTGAAGTAAGATGTTGAGGAGTATTTGTTCGAACCATGGGATGACGCTTCATGAACCATTCATTCCCATGCCTACCTAGTCGAAGCTCTTAACGTAAGCTTCAACACAATCATGCAACTCCTCCTTGTCAGTTGGAAAACCTATTTCAGCCTTGTACTGTATCTAATCTACAATTTTTTTTCTTCAGCATCTGTCAATTAAATTTCTCATAAATGGCGTACTAAAATAATCTTAAATTTAACATGGAGTATTTTAATGTTAGTACGAATATGTGACTAAATTTTTAACAAAATCTATTATTACATTATCTGTGTAATGAACCTTCATACGTTTATGATTGATATCTCTACTGTTTTAGGTTATTACTTAATCTTATGATGTGGTGGGCCTACACAAACATGGTTTAGTATTTAAATAAAAAAGTGTACAAAAATAAATTTATTTAGAACGAGAAGTTAGAATTACATTATTGGTTGAAGATTGAATACTTACATCAAATATTTTGGAATATTTATTACTTATTCTCTAGTCTTAAGGGTCTTTTAATAAGTTCATTCGTGTTTTTCTTGTTCTTGATAATAATTGTGAGAATTCTTTGTCAATAGAACAAATATTAATAGTTATTTTTAAAATTTCGAAAATAATAAAAGACAGAATGTTTTAGTACTTTCTGCTGTAGTCGTACTATTGTTGGTAGTTTTAAGAGTAACAATTAGATGGAAATTCTGAAGACTCATTATTTATTTCAAAAAATGGACGTTTGTATTGCATCAGTATTCAGTTACATCAACAATGTTTTTAGATTTTTGTAATAGTAAAACGCTTGGTTTCTCTTAGTTGTATTTATTTACAATTATAAATTTTTTCTGATTGAAACACAAAAATTAGCTTTCAATGTTGTTTAAATGTACAGGTAAACGAAACCTTAGCTCAAATGGTAATGACTGATCAATACGTTTAGAAATAAGTGGCAACTGGATTACCATTTATCAGGAAAAATATTCGAACTAGTAGCAATGTCTTTATTTGAAAGTCTTTTATCATATCCATTTAAGCCCTAACTGCATTGAGTTTGATAAATAAACAGTAACATTAAAGTGAACGTGGTAACCGTCGTAAAATGAAACATAATTTGCAGAGCAGATATCGCGAAAATGGCGTCAGAAATGATTCATGGAAACAATGTTTTAATGCCTCAGTCCTCGCTTTCTTTGTATACCTCTTTTCTAGCGTCTCTCCTAGCTTGCTTCTTTTCCTGACTGTAAAATACACGTTCAATTTTCATTCTATAATATTTTCTAACTCTCCAAATGCAACGATTATAGATTTCAAACATCTTAGGGGTGTCTTCGTTTGTCAAAATAAATAATACCAGAAACTCTCGCTCACTACTAAAAAAATTACTCATTTTTAAAGACGAATAGTACATGTGTGAAGTAATATAAATATTAGGATAATAGGGTAGTGGAGTCTGAAGATCAACCATTTTTAAATAGCTTTACATCAAGAAACATAAACATTACTAAAAAAGTTTTATACCAAAAAGTAAAGCAATCCCTTTACTCCTACAAATAATGCTGAAATCATTATCATTTTATAAAGTAATGATGTACATCTTCGTAAGGTTTTTTTGAATATTTGATGAGAAAATAAGAAGTGGCAATTTATTTTCATGAACTGGAAAGAAAAAAAAATTAATAAAGATACCAAATTTGGAACATAATTACTCGAATAGAGAAAGCAGTTCAGTAAAGTTTTGGGAACGTAACGAAACCATTTTTGAAAAATATAAGAGGTCTGAAACACATTATTATTGTCAGTTATACAGTAGAAAATAATACAATTACGGGGTTGATGATGATGTTCAAGTTTAATTATTTGGGTTGTTACATTTAGCACTTTCCTTGGAATTTGCATTATTTTAGTTGTAGAGTATGGGAGCTTTAATTTAAAAAAATAGTATCATTGATAGTCCTTCTATTTTACAAATTTACAATCGATTGTAAGGGTTAAAAAATTTAATGTCAACAGCATCTTCGACTCATTAACGTCCCAAAACTTTGTGGGGCTACTTAAAGTTATCATTTACATTTATAATTTTTTGGAAAATCTCTTCTTTTTAGCTCATTAAAAATGTTTTCTTAAATTTTTGCATTGGATAGTTGAGGAGTATTTTCGAAGATGCAGAAAAAAACTTTAGTACTTGTAGGTTTTGTGGCTTTTATTAATTGTTTCAATAGTTCTAGTTATATCTTTTGGCGTTAAAGAGTCACTTTTAAATTTTACAGTTGAATTATTTCTAACTAGCCAATCCACCTATTCATAATGTTATTTGCTAATTCCACTATAAGTTTGACTCGGAAAGCATGGAAAATCTCATAGTAGTTTCAGTACATCTCTATTATTCTTTTAGTTTTCAATCACTATTAAATAATGCTTATCAAAATCTTTGTTATTTTTTCATTCAAAGTCGGGAATTTTTATTTCACTATTTATCTAAATAGAGTAACCTATAGGCAGTGGAGTGATTTTTTAGTTATCATATATGAAAACTGCGTCTTAGCACGCCTAAGCATGTTGTAGAAGGAGCTATCAATACATTCTAGTCATTAGCTAAGTGAAATTTTTTAGTTTGCTTATTTAACCTTTAATACCATGATAATACTCTATAACAAGCATTAAGCTCTTGGCACTGAGAGTGGAAAAGGAACAACCCATGCTTGAGTGGAAATCGTGCTTGGTTAGTATGAAAGACTTCGTGAGCTCAAGCCCAGTGGAACAGTTTTACCGGGGTGACAGCACTCGCTTACGGCTCTGATAGCCACTGATTAATGCGAAAGATACCCTGACCGGGACTGTGCTTCCTGCACACGCACGGCGTCATACTCACGTTACAACTCGGATAGTAAGTCGGCTTTCCCTTATTTACATCTGCTTGCTGAGTAGCCAGCTCAGCTCTAGAGTAACGCAGGACGCTAGCAGGTTCGCGTTTACGTGCTAGCTCATGGTAGCGTCAGGATAAGGCTGGTGCGTGGCTTACAACTCCTATTTGAATGACACACTTCCTTTGCAAAGCCTGCTAACAAAGGATAGCTGGAAAATCTTTATGCAAACAGGTTTGTGCCAAGCAGAATACGGGCATTTGAAAATCACAAAAATGAAACCATTGATTTCACTGCTACAAAAGCAAGTTTGTGCGCCCGCGCGTGTGTGTGTATGTTTCACTCGATCGCACCAACGATAAGGTACGTACGGGTGAAGAATGACTTCTTCTCGGAGCCAACGGCACACTATAGTTCGACCAGGCAGAAAGAAAATTCACACTGCTAACGCGCTTTTTACGCACACACTACGCCTACCTGGCTCTTTGTAGTTTTGTGTGTAACTTTGAGCAAACAAGCTCGCCTGTATAATATGCCAACAAAGACCCTTGTCTTTCCTTTCTATCTTTATCTGTCTTTTATATGATTTTGCTTTTCCGTCCCTATTTCTCTCTCTCCATCCTACCTTCTACTCGCACGGTATAAACAAACGCTCACGGTGCCAAAAGCTTGTTCCCCATTACAACTCTATATCTCTGACATCTGAAAATATTTTTCGAATTCTATCTCTATGCACGAATTGTTGCAGCTAGATTTTTCTCTCTAAAGGCTACGATTTCTGTAATCTCTTACATTTAATTTTATTTCTTGTTAAAATCTAAGTCAATTCAGGAGTACATTTTATAACTAAATTTTTTAGTTATTTGATGTGTTATAGTCTCTTTTCTTTTCGTTAAAATCATCATTATCGTTTTGAGATTTTACGGTTAAAACTGTCGAATTTTACTGTTGTAAGGCTGTTTTCTAAATAATAGCAAAAAATCCAGAAATAATAGGGCAAACTGAGTTCTGGTTTCATAACGATTTATTTAGAGTTAGAAATGCAAATAAGATAAAGTTTGAACTGTTTTTGAAATTAAAAAAAAATTTCAATTAAAGAATCTGTCATTTAATGTTATTCACGTTGTAGGGTAGTTGAAGTTACGAAAGTATGTCTATAATTATAACAATTATTACAAATTCACTATAAAAGCGAAATTATTTAGATAATTATAGAATAGTCAAGACCTCTATCATAAAAAATTTATACAAAGCACCTTTGCAAACTAGATAGTTTCAATTTGTTTGTATATTAATTGACGCAAATTAACTTGCATTTATTCATATTTTTACTTGTACACCTTCAAGAAGGCGTATGCCCACACAAAATAATATGCTTAAATTTCACATTTTATATTCCAGGTTTAAAGTAGCAAATGGTAAATACCTTTGACTATTTCCGAGTAGTAACAAGAAAATTTTCAAATGATGTCATCAACTACACAATATTTAAGTCCTCCTCCAAGTATAACCCTTCCAAATATGTCCATTCCACCACCCACAACTCCTAACTTATCAGCTCCTCCACCTGCACTAACCACGATAAGTACGACAACAAATTACTTACCTAGATTTACTAATCACAAAGATGTTAATCGAGGGTTTTTTAAACCTTTTCGACCTTATCATGCACCTAAAATTATTCCTGGCAGTCAAGAAGCTCTTCAAGATGAATTTGATGGCAAAAGGCTTCGTAAATCTGTTATGCGAAAAACAGTAGATTATAATTCAGCAATAATTAAGACGTTAGAGGTATGTGTTTACTTTTACAATTATTAAAATAATTTTTTTTCGTTTAGCTAGCTCTAATTTTACGTTCACTGTAGAATCGCATCTGGCAACGAGATTTTCGTGATAGACGTGCGCTTCAACCAGATGTTATATATTATCCTGATCTTTTACCACCTCCTAGTTATATTGATAACCCAATTAATGCTGTTACAACAAGGTTTGTTAAGACTGCTACTAATAAAATGAGATGTCCCATTTTTTGCATGGCTTGGACTCCAGAAGGAAGACGACTCGTTACTGGGGCATCTAGTGGAGAGTTTACACTATGGAATGGTCTCACATTTAATTTTGAGACGATATTACAGGTCAGTTGTAAGCTTGAAAAACGTAGATCGCTTGTGCAAGCTTGATTTCTAACCTTACGTGTTTAATCTGGTGGTAATTTTTTATTTATATCATTATAAAAAAAGCTGCAACTATGTTTTGTAAAATTAATTTAATGTTTTATATGCAGGGGCTAAGATAAGTACATAATATTAGTTTTTTTACAGACTTTTTTCTCCACAAGTGCAATACCGGCTGTCCTAATGGAATAGTGATCTTTTTATTTAATGAAAACAGTCTAATTTGTGTATTCTATTTTTATAAATGCATTTTGTTGTTATTACTCTTAAGACCTCATGAGACTAGTCTGAAAAGCTACTATTTTGAAGAAAGGAAGAATTCACTGTTAAACTTGCTGCAATGTGAGTGAATCAATTCAGTCTAATCCTAGCGCACATCCACACGTTAATAATGATCACGAATTGTATGCGCCGTTTAAAGCGATACAGGTAGTCAAGCTCTAGCTTTGGTCGTAGCGAGTCGCTCTTTTATTTCGTAATATATATTATTATACTTACAACACTTCCTTTTATTATTTCCAACATACAAGCAAAGCGTAGTTCCTTTTTTCTTTGATGTTTCAAGCGTAACGTCAACTAAATACATAGTGCTGTAGATGGTTAATTAAAAAAAATGAAACAAGTCAATTAAAAAAAAATTTTAAGTAGACGATTTTTTGGCTGAGTTTAAGTAAATGGTGTGTAAAGTCCAGGCTACTGGAAAAGCAAAACCGAAGCTGAAAATTAAGATACGTGTTCAAAGCATTACCATTAAGGTATAACTAAATCAGAGACTATATAGATCACCCACCTGAAAAACTAAAGACTGAGAAATTCGTGAAATCGCAAGTTAAAGAAAAAAATTTGAAAGCAAAAAGTGTAGAAAATAAACGTAAAGCTGAATCTAGTACACTCCATATAGAAATAAAAGGACAGTATTACAAATGTGGAAATTTTGGATATGTGGCAAGAGAATGTAATTAAAGCCATTCCAACTGTTCACTAGGTGCTAAAGTCAGAGACACGCCGCGAGGCAAAAGGAGATACAGAGGCAACAGCAGAAAAACATACAGTTACTTACAGAGGAAATAGCAGATGCACAGGTTATAGGAACACAACGAGCTAAGAATGTCAACAACAATAGCAAGACTCGTTAGGAGCGCAGAACTTTCTAATCGAGTACGAAAAGCGTGAAGTAAATAACTGCTGAGTAGGTAACGAAATAAATTGGTTATTAGACGGTAGTAGTACCGATCACGTTATAAAGATGGATACATTTTTTAGTAAATACATATAAATCCTAACAAACCTTTAGAAGTAAGTTTGCCAAATGAAGAACAATTAAAAGCTACGAAAATAGGAAAAATAAAAGCTTATTTTTCGCAATAGTATACGAAAAATAGGTGTTTTCCGCACACTTATTGCGAAAAAACTTGTACGCAACTCGTGCGGGACGATTTCCCGCACTCATGTGATAGACTTGCACTCGTGGCCGGTGACGGTAACTCGTGCTACGCACTCGTGTGCTCAACTGGCACTCGTTCCCGTCAACTCCGGCCACTCGTGCGAGTCAATCACTACTCGTGCGAGAAATCGTCTTTTCCGCACTTGTTACGTCAATAACTATTAATTACTGTTTGCATAACTCAAACATTGATTTTCATAATGTTTCATTCGTACAAAAATTCAGAAAAATTTTTCAAGTATTTCAGAGATCGCAAATATTAGGAAAATTATAACGACTGATAATACAGACAAAATATGTATAAAATTAAATAATAAACTTAAAGTGGTCACACAATTAAAATATTGTTTATACCATATATAAAGTTATTTAAATTATTTTTACAACAAATACGTTAATAGCACAATTTGACATTAAAATAATGATAACAACTTGGACGATGATAAAAAATAAAATGATTGATGGTGTGCTAGATAATTTGGAGAATATTAAAATGAAATTCGCAAATCGTATTAAAAGTAAGAGGACAAACAAACCACCTGAAAGTTATAAGAAAATGGCCAAAATAGTTTTAGAAGTTACTCATACTGATTCAAGGGACCCACATAATACAATTGGCAATAATAAAGAAAAATATCTTTTAACATTTATAAGTGAATACAGTAAATGTGTAAAAATATGTTGTACACAAATTGAGTTAAAAACAGCAAAATGACGTAGTAATGATGTAAATTTTGTAAAAAAAAGATTCAACAAAAAGGTTAACAACTTATAATGTGACAATGGAAAAGAATATTTAAACAAAAATATTATTAGGTATATTTACAAAATAGTATAATGGAAAGATACAACTGATTGGCAATGAATATGGGTTGGTGTTTAGTGAAAGAAGCCGAAATAAATCAAAAATTTTTGCCTAACGTAAATAAAAGTTCAAAAAAAAAAAAAAAAAGAAGTTAAAAAGCCATGAATGTTGAATTAAAAAATCTTACTAAAAATAAATCGTGGAATACAGTTCAAGAGACAAAAAGTAAGAAATTTGAAATAGTAAATTGATATTTAAGAGGAAGGATAAAAATATATTTAACACCAAACTTTTAAAATAAACTGAGTTCATTGAAAATGTATGTTGGCCTGTTAATAAAATGCAAACATTAAAAATATTGTTATCTTATTATTGTCAATATAATTTTTTTATCATACATAACATACATCTGTACATATTGGATGTAAAAACAGTATTTAAAAATGGCTAAATACAATCAGAAACATACATTAATCATCCAAAAGACTATGAAATTGTTAAAAATGACGTTTGTGAACTGAATATAACACTACATGGATTTAAAGAACGCCCAATAATAAAGTAAAAAACATTTCATGAATTCTTAAGCAAACAAAATTTTGTTAAAAATGATTACAGTTTCCGTTTATTTAAAAAATAATAACTTTAGTTCAGTATACATTTTAGTTTTTGTTGATGATTTACTACTATGTAGTAAAGATTTGAATAAAAAAAAAATAAAGCAAAACTTAGTAAAAATTCCTGTAAAAAGATATAGGTTGAGTTAAAAATTGTATTGTGATTGAAATTGATCCTAATAAAGAAAAAAATACAAAAAGTTAAGTCAAAAAAAGTATGTAGAGTCACAAGCGATGAAATATAATGTAGGAAATGTAAAATTATATAATACTCTCATGGAAACAAATATAAAAATTAAAAAGTCTGGTAGTTGCAAACAACAATTAATGAACAACAATTTAATTGGAGGACTGCTGTACGTAAGTGCAAGCAAGAGACTGGTTATAACAAGCAGTGTAAATTATCTTTATTGTAGAATTAGATTGTAGAATATTGTTATATCCTATAGAATGTAGTTATATTGCAACTTACTATACGTATGCAAGGAGAGTGTTAAAATATATAGTAAAGACAACAGATACAACATTAGTTTATAATACGATGGGAAAAGTATTAAACTGGATGGTAGATTCGGACTGGGCTGGTGACAATATTACCAAAAAATTAACAGTATGTGGAACAAGAATATACAATAACGTTACTTTTAGTAAAGCTAATTAACAAAAATGTATAACTAAATGTCAAATATTTGTAGAGTTGTCAGAAGCTGTTGCTGAAATATTGTTTACAAAGAGTTTTGTTCAATAAAATTTTGAATGTTAAAATTTAAAAACCAATTAATATTTATGAAGATTATTCAGGGGCAGTTGCGATTGTAGTACTGTACTGACGAAGTACTGTACTCTTGTGTATTGTTGTGTTGAAGTACTGTGTCGCCATATTAATGGAAAATATTGAAATGATAACTCCAGGGTGATGGAAACGATAAAAACAGAGTCACTGTAAAGAATACTAGATAAGTTCTATGTGATCGGGATATCTAAAAACCTTGACTACAACTGTTTGCGTGGAATCTGTAGCATTGCTGATGCCAAGAATAATTCTATCTCATCCTAGCTTCTTTCCGATCATCTCTTTGACGGTTATTAGGTAACCTTAACTAAATAATGCAGATTTATTTTCATCGTGAAAAAACAAAAATACACTGAAAAATAAACACTTAAGGTGCATAAAGGCCTTGCGCGACCTATAGAAGCTTACATTTGACTTAAATTACTAAAGTACATGGTAAAATTTTAAAAACACACATATAATTCTGATAACGTTAGCCTTTCAATTCCAATCGCAATACCTAAACGTATAAGCTTAGATTATGAGCGACACATTACATTTCTAAAGGAAAATCGATAGCTATTGAAATTTGTATTATATTGATGACTGTGAAATTCTAATTTACGTTAATCAGTGTTTTAAATATAACGCGCATGAATAGTGGTATTTACATCCATTTCAAATAAATAAATATGAACGATTTTAAAAAATGCTTCAATATTGAAATGACAATTACAATGTACAGTAAGGGATAAAACGGAAAATAATCTACATTAATGGTAGTAAACTATGATGGGTATATCATGCAACTCATATTTTGGGATTTGCTTCTGACCTAGAAATCTCGAATACCGATGAAGAATTAATCAGTAACTTACAAAATTATTTTGATAATGATGCAATACTGAAAATCCTCGTTTTACCTCGACTCATTAATTTAATTACCCAAACCCTCAACAATTAACCCATCCCCAAGCAAATTATGTACAAAATACCCCAGCCGTGTGGATCAAACTATACTGAGTAAATACTGTACAAGACGATAACCAAATAATAACCAATACATTTAAAATACTGATTTAAATAAAAAGTTTTAACCAGCAATTTGGACATGATAGGAAAACAGTAAAATGATAACGCAATATTAGCAAATTTATTATCAAACTATAAAATTTTGGAAAACAAGTTGGAGGTGTACCTATACACTGTCGATTAGCTTCATACTTACTAGGTACAACTTAAGTATTAACTTGTCCCTACTACATTACAAATAAAAGTAAAATAACTTTTAAAAAATTAAGACAATCATATTCAGAAAGCTTA